TATATTTTACTTTCAATATTTGCACACAATGTAACAGAAATGATAGAATTTGGTGTAATGTTATAGTTGATCAAGGGAATCGGACAGAATTCCCAATTTTTCAAATCTTATTCCTGAATGCGCAGCATTCAAAAGCCATTGCATCAGTAGGCCAATCAGAGAAAGTTGATCAAACCAGATACATTCTAAAGTTGGAACATTTCATTTGCGATTGCGTGCAACCGTTTTTGTTGTTCTGCTTTGCAGTATATTTTTGCATAATGTCGATTGTTGTGAGATAATTGTCCTCATATTGAATATAGATCAGATGGTGGCGAAAGTAATGAGTGACATTTACAAATTGTCGAAAGAAGTATCGGTAGGACTTTAATTTATGGACGATCTTATCAGAAGGGTTTAAGAAATTTCAAGGTCATGGTGCTAAGTTCAGTGCCGGATGCTCACATTCGATCGTTTTACAGCAGATTTTAGTGAATAGGTGATCGTTGAGAGATTTCAGCAGATGGGACTATTAAGAAGTCCCTGTGTCTGTGACTGCGGCAATTAAATGACTGCAGCACGATGTGCAGACTGCCGCGATGACATTGTATTTCGTTGTACTATATGTTGTAGAAAAAATCTGCTCGAACTGGCACTTTTTCTGCACGGTCACGGCTAAGGCTAAGACAAACCATGATAATCGTTGCAAATTGGATCATAAAGTCTCCAGTAACAATAGCTGCGGCTATACCGATGATTGGAAAGCGTATAGATGCCTCTCGAGACTTGGTTTTGTGCATCGTGTTGTGGTGCACAAACGTCATTTTGTTGACCCAACGACGGGGGTCCATACAAACAACATTGAGGGCATGTGGTCTAGGCTGAAGTATTTTTTAAGTTCCTACCACGGCTCCAGAGGACGATTATTATGGAGTCATATGGACGAGTTCTTATACCGCATCCACTATGATTTCAAAAATTCTGAACCTATATCAAACCTCAACGAGTTCTTAAATAATGTAAAAGAAGAATATCCATTGTAATTCATCACCTTTTTATAATATATTTTTACTTTATACTAACTCTCTTCTGATTGGCTAATGTCCTCAAGGTCACTTAACAATTCGTTCAAAGGTCGTCCATAAACTAGAGTTTCACCGAAGTATCTTACTAAAATCAAGGAGAAATGAACTGTTGGATTGGTTATCTGTGGATGCTGAGGGGGACTGTCATCTGTCAACTACGTTCGCACTCCAATGAACGTCATTCAATGCTATGACGCTACCAACAATTACGGTCAATCGTAGAGAATTGCCTACAAAAGACTTGACCATTCTAAAGAGTATCTCAAATGCTTAGTTTAAACTGAACAACACCGGGTATGAAGACATCATGGGACGATATGAACTAGTAGAAATATGAATGAAAATGGTGAGAGATTTGCAAACCTATGTGCCTTCAATAAACTGGTCACAGGTGGAATTATATTCTCACACAAGCGCATCCACATAATCACATGAACTTCACCGGATCACACAACACTAAACCAAATCGACCATCTCTGCATCATCAAAGCGTTCAGGAGGACGATGGAGGACGTGCGAACCAAGAGAGGAGCTGAAATAGCATCAGATCATCACTTGCTGATCGCCAAGATGAAATTGAAACGCAAGAAGTACTGGAAAACGGGGCGGACGATATCATGAAAGTTCAATGTGGCCATTCTTCAGGATACTGACAAACTCAACAAATTCAAAATGGTCCTAAGCAATTAGTTCCAGGCCTTTAATGATCTCCTCATTGGAGAAGGACCTAATATGGAGAGCAACTGGAAGGGGATCAATGAGGCAATCACTTCAACATGTCATGATGTTCTGGGCCACAAGAAGCACCATCACAAGGAATGGATCACTGTTGATACACTGGATAAGATTCAAGAAAGGAGGAACAAGAAGGCAGCAATCAATACCAGTCGAACAAGAGCAGAAAAAACCAAGGCACAAGCTGAATACACGGAAATAAACAAACAAGTGAAGAGGAGCATCAGAACCGACAAACGTAAATATGTGGAAGATTTAGCAACGACGGCGGAAAAGGCTGTATGAAAAGAAGGAAACATGAAACAACTGTATGACACGACAAAGAAACTCTCTGGAAATCGCCGCAAACCAGAACGACCAGTGAAAAGCAAGGAAGGCAAGGTAATCACCAACATTGATGAACAACGAAACAGGTGGGTAGAACACTTCAAAGAACTCTTGAATCGACCAGCTCCACTGAACACACCCAACATCGAAGTAGCACCAACGGACCTCCCAACCAATGTTGGCCCACCAACAATTGAAGAAATTAGCATGGCCATCAAACATATCAAGAGTGACAAAGCAGCAGGACCAGACAACATTCCAGCACAGGCACTGAAAGCAGACGTAGCGGTAACTGCAAGCATGCTCCACATTCTCTTCAATAAGATTTAGGATGAGGAACAGGTACCAAAAGACTGGAAAGAAGGACTTCTGATCAAAATACCGAAGAAAGATCTCAGCAACTGTGATAACTACAGATGCATCAATCTTCTCTCAATACCGGGAAAAGTCTTCAACGGGGTATTGTTAAACAGGATAAAGGACTCCGTAGACGCCCAATTTCGTGCCCAACAGGCAGGATTCCGTAAGGATAGATCATGTACAAACCAAATCGCAATTCTATGGATCATAGTGGAACAATTAATTGAATGGAATTCATCACTCTACATCAACTTCATTGACTACGAAAAGGCATTTGACAGCGTGGACAGAACAACACTATGGAAGCTTCTTCAACACTACGGCGTACCTCAGAAGATAGTCAATATCATACGGAATTCCTATGATGGATAACACTGCAGAACCGTGCATGGAGGACAGTTGACAAAGTCGTTCGAAGTAAAGACCGGTGTTAGGCAAGGTTGCTTACTCTCACCCTTTCTCTTTCTTCTGGTGATCGACTGGATCATGAAGACGTTAATATCTGAATGAAAAGCACGGGATTCAGCGAACATCTAGGATGCAGTTGGACGATCTAGACGTCGCAGATGATCTGGCCCTCATATTGCAATCGCACCAACAAATGCAGGAGAATACGACCAGTAAATATTGTCAGAAAATTCGCCTTTTTATTTGCTCGGTCTCATTCACATTTCCGCTCGAAATCGCTTTGTGTGCTTGTGGCTTAGTGATCTAGGTTGTACAATGGTAAACTGTAATCAACGCTGAGTATTGTCTTCCGAAATTTATACACCGTTGTTAGTTATTTATTAACGATTATCAGGACGAATGATATACAAAGCCTTAATTCATTTCAAACTCTCAAAAACAATACACAGTGTTTAGGTTTTAAATTTGGCGACTACACTAAATCCCCGGTGTATAACTTACATTAAAATTTCAACTATATAGTGTAATTTGATTAGAAATTTCATTTAGAATATTATCAAATAAGAAGTATGTAATTTTGACGAAAATTCTGTTTAACAGACAGTCAGTTTCGAAATAGTTCAGTTGTAGTGTTTCCAAATTTGAAAATTGATGATGTTATTTCACTTCCGTTAAGAAGAAATAACTTTCTCAAGATTAAAGGTATATATTTATTGACAAGTGTCAACTAGCATGAAACTTAGATCCCTTGAGCTACGTTTAACGACTTTACATTAAGTAAATTTTAACAGTTTCATTCACGAATCTATCTAAGCCATACTGTCACTGAAGACTTGGAAGCACTGGACGACCATTTTGTTTAGCATGGAATTCTGCAGCAGCGCGCATCCATTATCCCGCAAGTAGGAATCAAACTCAAGACTCTCAGGGGTGGTCGACTGTTCTAATACTACAATCTCCACAAATCCTCATACTGAAAACAATCATGTGTTCACTAATGACTAGCTTCAAAATGCAACTCCTGGAGTTCTAGTGGGTAGCTGTGACCAATGTAGTCTAACCCGTGTCAGTTGTGAGACGGTTGTCCACCTCAAACAATGGAAAAGGGTTGCGTAAACTCCTGGATCGATTAAAGTCAAACATTAACACCGTTGCATTCCGGCTAAGTGGTCTGTAGGTTAAGTGTTTACTTGCATGACCGAAGGTCCTAGGTTCGGGTCTTGTGTGTGCTGAATTAGTCAGCTGTTAGAGTTATGAGAGAGGTTATCGCTTCCAGGTTGCCCACACAGTAGAAGGCTTCTCCTGGAAATAACTGAAAAGGAAATTGGATTAGAGATGATCTTAGTGACCTGAGAGTGTGATCGCAGTGTACAAGGGACAACTGCTTGAGGTCGGTCATACACGACCTTTTTGTGAGTAATTTTTATGTCAGTTCCGTACTTGTTGGCACCTTACCATCGAAAACGGATATCCGTGGGATAAGACGAGGTTTTCATTTTTAGGATCAACCTTTTCTAAACCCACCCCTTCTTTTGGGAAGGCAGTATCGCTGCTATGCTAGTTTTCTGAAAGAAACATCTTACTGCCGTCACACCTTTGTACAGTCATCAGTACAACTTCTCCTTCGAATCTTGAGTTTACTACTATTAGTCATACCTTTCTTCAGCCGACCTGTCTTACATGACAGGACTTTGAGGAACGATTGTTTCGGCCAATATAACTCCTTTGGTTCATCACGATAGGTAATCCCGACCACCACATTAAGATGCGCTAAATAATCCCCTATTATTACGAAACAATCGTTCAGTGTTTCTAAGTATCCAATAATAATCTAAGTAAAATTGACTCATGAATTCATCTATTACAATACTACAATCTCCATAAATCCCCAACTATTATTAATTAAATGAATGAAGTAACAATGATAATGAATATAGTTTTTAACTAATGATATCTATAAATGGAATTCATAAACTAATATAATAAGCATTAAAATGTATAATATAACAATTCAATCTATAGAAATATAGAAATTCATATCGGGTAAACATAGAAACATTATTGTTATTAATAACTTTGTCATTGAATATCATAGAAATCCATCAATCCGTAGAGTTTTTAAGTTGATTGTGTATTTGTTTTTAATTTCATTTTTTTCACTTCATTTGTTTTAATAACAAAGAAGATAATAGCAATTATAGCTAAGATAAGTAATATTCCAGCGAATACAATTAATGCAATTGTTCCAGGATGTACTATGAAAAGAAAATAAACGACGAGGGGAAGGGTGTTGTTGTTGGTGGTGGTGGTGGCGGTAGTGGTAATGGTGGAAAGAATCAATAAAATTAATATATATGACGCTTTCGTTTAAATTTGATGAAATAGTTGATATGAAGAATGAGTGAAACTATAATTTATAGACGATCTTTGAGTGACGCTAGAGGGACCTTAAGAATGTTCACTTAATAACTAGGACCAAACAAGGGTTATAAACCAGAGTGAGGAATTATAATTATGGTTTAGAGTTGATGGTATTATGCTCCGATAAGCATAATGAATGATAACTTTGGGATCCATTTATGAACCGATACTATGCGTATATTTTTATCGTATAATTGTTAAATAACTAAACTATATATTTTCATTTCCCTCTTATTATGAGCTTTATTTTGACCTATGGACTATTATTGTACGATTTACCATTCTTGAATTATGTCCTATCTATTAATTACTACCTCCCACATTCACAGACACATTTGGCCAAATCTTGTACAAATGTTGTTTTCCATTTTATGGTACGATGTAGTCTGTTTGGTTGGTATATAAACCCAGTATGCTTGAAATAGATGATTCATATATCAGAGGCTGATATTGGTGTTCTGGACTTAACAGGTGGGGCTAGGCGGGAAGTAGAACCAATTAGGGGACTCTAGACTGTTTGTACGTGTTTTATGCGTCATAAGTCCGATCGATAATTCACTGCTCCCTAATTGGCGGTCACAAGTAAAACAGACTGTTAGGGTTAGGAATAAGATTTAGAATTTTCATCACGAACTGACATTAGCTATAATGTCAAAACTCTATTTTTAACCAAATGGATGGGTGAATTTCACGCCAAAAATTGGAGACCTGTTATCTTATACCTGATTGATTCACTTGATATTGTTTTACTTGAATCTTCCCATTGATGTTTTAAGACTGAAATTGATCAGTCTCTTATTGGCATATGTGAATACTGTGCGTATGCCTCGATATTGCCTTAATTTACAAGCATTATAAGCAAAGATGGATAGTGGCTAGCAGTGCAATCCAGGACGCGCGTTTCGTCCTGTTTGGGACTCGTCAGCTGGATGTACCTGCATTTCAGAGTTGATGTTCACTCTGGGACTCGGACTCAGTGCCGTTCGCTCCAAACGCCATCGCGTTATCCACTTAGCTACTGAGTCCTGATAGCCACTTGCTTGTGCAATATGTTGAGTAGCGATTTGGTCTAAACTTGTTCAAGCAATTATAAGTTTGATTAAAATAGTTTGAAAAAAGCTTGAACTAGATTGCCAAACAAGTTGTTGGATTTACTTTAAATTCATCCAGTGGAATTTTTTATAAATACATTCTTTCATAGTAAAATCAAAGTAAATAATATAAAAATGTAATGAATGTTCTATATTGACTAACAGTTCTATACATTTACAAAATAGGTGTTAAGTCTTTCTGAATTTTTAATGGTTATCATCTGACTAGCTAATTTTCATCATTAGGCTCAATAGTTTTAAGTTCATAATTATTGTGGTCAGGTTGGTGAATATGGAGGATTAGATTAGGGGAGTTGGAAAACCCTTATTCCAAACCGATGGTACATATGGGCTTCAGGATCCTGAGGGAATAAATTATGTATGAATCTATTGTTGGTCACCAGCTACCATGGGACTAAATCTCCTTACGTTGCTCCACTCACTGTCTTGTATATTAGACCTCTAGGTCAAAGGCTCTGGATGTGGCTCCTTATGAAAGCCACCTTGTTTTGGTTTGAGCACCCGGGCAGTATTACAGCCCTCACATGAATTAATGATAACTATTACTAACCTTATTTTTATTGTGTGGTACATATGTATTTGGTACCTTCTTGTATCAATCTTTATGTGTTCAAATAAAATAAAGCTGTAACAATTCTATACAAATTGAAATATGGCTTTTTTATTTTGTTAGATGGAATGACTTTATATTTCATTGAAATTGTAGGTTGATCAGCTTGTATATTAATAACATTAACCAATGATTTAGAGAGATTTGATGTAATGTGTGAATAGCCTAAACGTTTTAGCATTTGTCAAGGACTATTTTTTGTTGGAGAGGTCCAGAAAACTCTTTGAAAAAGGCCAAGAAATGCTCTGAAAACATTGATAAGCATCTTATCCAATTAGAGTTCAATAGAGGTTTTGCCAGAAACGTCTAGAAAGTGAGAAGTCGCAAGTCGAGTTCCTGATTGAATGATTACTTGCAATGCTAATATGTTCAGTAGCATTCCAGAGTTTTCCGGAAACCCAAGGATATCCAGAATACTATAAAACCCCTAGATTTTCTGTACACAAACGAACCTTTGGAGTAAAGCGTTTTCTTCCATATTTCGCATCTTTTCTCTCGTGTTCAAGTCGCTATGTAGATCTAGCCTGGGGGTTACTAGAAGAGTTTAGGAACAGAATCTAGCGTTCAGTTAAAAAACTTATCATTTTTAGTCACTGATTCTAGGGAAGATATTCAAGTTATTTACTGTTGCTAATAAATACTGTTTTTTGACTGTGAAGGAAGTCCACTTAACTATCAAGGATCTTTTCAAGTTACCAATGTCTCTCCCACTTTATTAATCACAATGGGAAATATTATTGTAATAATTTCCCGGTTCCTCTTTTTTATGTAGATCCCGTTTGATATTAGAAACATGTAATCTTATTTTTTTTTTAGAGTTCATTTACCGTTATATAAGAACGAAGATTGAAAGAACCTTAACTTCCAGAACTAAATTATGGCTTATCATTATAGATACACTTATTGTAAAATCATTGTATGTATGAAACCTTAATGAAACTTAAGACCTAGGGTATGATAAGGAGTGAATGATTCTCTACCATTATGACCGATTCTGAACCTTGTAACTCGACGTCTCCAGCCACAAAGACTTTAAATAGACTTCAACTAGGTAGTCTATATCTGTCTGCTCGGCTCAGACTAAGAGTCGACGATTCCAGAGTCTACCTACATGTTTTAGTTTGACCGATTATCTTTCTTTCAAATAATTCTTACACTAGCTAACATCATGCATTGAAATCGGCGATGGTTTAGAATACGAAATACACGATTCAACCATCTCACTCGATGAAGATTAATAATCTTACTATACGAATTATCATTTCCGCCTAGCACAGTGCACTTAATGTCAACATTTTTCACTGGATAGTTCCAGAAATATCAAACAATGTTTTAACTGTCATAGACTATATTTTAGTGTCATAGAATATTACGAAGCATAATGCTACATAGGATATTCGTTGACAAATGGTTATCATATCTATGTTACTACATATAAATCACACAACAGATGATAATAACTACAAAGTGAAACAAATGATAATAATATCATCCTGTAAAAATCAAAATCTCTACTCTTCAGCGACCCTCTAATAATCTTAAAGTTTCCAGATTAGATCATTAGACTATCCAGCTTAATTATCATCGTCAGCTTTTAGTATATTAATTTAGAATAAATTTTTGTAATTTATAAAATTTAATTCAATTTAAAGATCATTCCTGATCACAGATAAACATCAAATAAAAAATCACTGTAACAAAAGCATCATAAAAAATCTATCCTTCTGTGAGTATGAGCGGGTATTGGACTGTGGTACGAAATTGCTAAGATGCTCCGAATTGAAAGACAATGCTTGATCTTAAAATTGATCCAAATTAAATTCATGAATATGAGAAGAGAGTTTTGTGGAAAATTTAGCAATTTAATAGTTGGATTCATGAGTCAATTGAAGCTAGACCACCATGGAAAACCTGGAAGCACTTTGGTGAACGGTGACGCAATCCGGTGAATTGGTTGAAGCCAGACAACAACATCGTCTGATACTACCTCAGTGATATATAGGTTAAGCGTTCGATAAGTTCTGGGTTCAAATCCCGCGGGGCGCGATCGTAGATGTGCACTGCTGAGGACTCTTATACTAGGACGAAACGGTCGTCCAGTGCTTCCAGGTTTTACATGGTGGTTTAGTTTCAGTCGACTCAGGAATTCAACTACTAAATCATTATTATGTTCTAAGAATATTGTAAAATTACACGACCTATGGACATTTAGTTTGATTGTTTTATCACAATATTCAGACATATTATATTTGTCTATTTAAGGGCAAAAATTATCAAATGTATCATTCACTATTGTAGTATTTATATATGTATATGAATTATGTAAAACTTACATGTACAATTCTTTCCAGGATCAGATGGATTCACATCTTTCCACATTGGATCACATGTACATGTTACACCATTATCAGTATTTCTACATGATGCATGTTGACCACAAACTAATTGAGTATTTGAACAAGTAATTACTGAAGAAATACCTATTATATGAATAAATTACAAAGCAAGAAATTGTATGAAGGTGAATATATACCAACAGTAACTAGTTGAAACTCAGTAACGAACATTCACAGTTGAATGATAATTACTCATACAAATAATAAACATTTACTTGTTAAACAAATTAGGGATTATCGGAACTTTACATTCTTTAACACTTGACACGTTTGGAACAACGGTATATCAAGAGTTGAATATGATAGTGATTTTGAATACATGTGTTTTAGACAGCCTTTAACGCAGATTGACGATAAGAGACATGGATAGATGAAGGCAAACAAACCTACTCAATTTAACTAACACATGAAAGATACTAGTTTGCATAGAAACACATACGTACTAACATATACATATACCCATAACCATAGATATAAACAACAAGATGACTGAATAGAATAAAATAGTTCATCTGTTTAAAATTTAGGATAAACCATCAGGGTATATGATAGCAGCAGCTAGATTATCCTACAGTGTGCTATGTATTGTGATAAAAATAGAATTTTTACACTCAGTAAACAGTAAACGTACATACACTTTAGGGATCGGTCAATCAGAACTGAGCACTCGTGTATTGAACAAGAACACAAGCGAGGACAATGAAATGTAGTCGAGCACAAAATTACAGAGCGTCTTATTAAAATCTGAGAACCATATAGTCAATCGTTAATTTGCAAAATATCAATCCATCGTCTCAAAATTCACTGTTCCTGTTGCAAACATCAATCCATTGTCATTTTTCATGTATTTTCATACTAACTGCGTTCCGTTCCCGTTCTTTCCTCATCGACATTCTACTGAAATACATTCTATGCTTGACCACGATTATATAGTACTTATGTGGATATAAGTAACCCACACCACACTAGGCTTTTAGTTTTCTGCGAGAAATTCAAATATCACGTATGGCTAGCAGTAAAATTACCCTTAACATGATAACTGAAAGTTATTTTTTACTATCATAGAGTAGAAATTATGGTTTAAAGCGTATCAAATGCTGAGTTCACTCTTTGTAGATTGTGTGCAACAGGCAAATCGATGGTATCTTTAAATCTTCACCCTAAACCTTCAATCCTGCAATGAACCATGGACTGGAGGGTCTACATCGTTTGGTTACAATAATCAGAAAGCCGTTCTTGCATTTTTCAGAGAAATTTGTCAATACAGAGCTCATTTAGTTACTTACTTACGCCTGTTACTTCTAATGGAGCATAGGCCGCTGACAAGCATTCTACAATCCACGCTGTTCTGGGCCTTCCTTTCTAGTTCTATCCCATTTTTACTCATTTTTCCCATGTCTGTCTCTGTTTCTCGGCGTAATGTGTTCTTTGGTCTTACTCTTTTCCTTTGGCCTTCAGGATTCCATATGTGGGCTTGTTTCGTGACGCAGTTGGGTGCTTTTCTCAGTGTGTGTCCTGTCCACTTCCAGCGCTTCTTCCTGATTTCTTCCTCCGCTGAGATCTGGTTTGTTCTGTCCCATTGTAGGTTGTTGCCGGTAGTGTATGGCCAATAGATGTGAAGTATTTTGCGTAGACAGCTGTTAATGAACACTTGTATCTTCTTTATGATGGCTTTCGTAGTTCTACAAGTTTCCGCCCCACACAGTAGAACTGACTTGACATTTGTATTAAAAATCCTGACCTCGGTGTTGGTTGACAGTAGTTTTGAGTTCCCGATGTTCTTCAGTTGTAAATATGCTGTTCTTTCATTATCGATCAGCGCCTTCACATCTGCATCAGATCCACCGTGTTCATCAATGATGCTGCTCAAATATGTAAAGGATTCTTCATCTTCCAAATCTTCTGCTTTAAGTGTGATTCGATTGTTGCATATTGTGTTGTATCGGAAAATCTTGCTTATCTCCTTGTGTATGTTGAGACGTACTGATGCTGAGGCTGCTGCTACACTGCTCGTCTTCTCCTGCATTTGTTATTGCGTGTGCGATAGAAGAGCCAGATCGTCTGTGAAGTCCAGATCGTCCAGCCGCATTCTAGCTGTCCACTGTATCCCATACTTTCCCTCAGATGTTGACGTCTTCATGATCCAGTCGATCACCAGGAAAAAGAGAAAAGCTGAGAGTAATCAACCTTGCCTAACACCGGTATTTACCTCGAACGAGTCCGTCAATTGTCCTCCATGCACGATTTTGCAGTTTAATCCACCATAGGAATTCCGTATCATATTGACTATCTTCTCAGGTACGCCGTAGTGTCGAAGAAGCTTCCATAGTGTTGTTCTGTCCGCGCTGTCAAATGCTTTCTCATAGTCAATGAAGTTGATGTAGAGTGATGAATTCCATTCAATTGATTTTTCTATAATGATCCGTAGAGTTGCGATTTGGTCCATACAAAACAACTCTATATTATATCTGATGTCAGTTTATGATGCAAAGTATAACTTTAAAGCTATGATCCTAACCGCAGTTACTGAACCCTATCTAGGAACAATATAAGAACTCTTCGAAAGCTATTTGATTCTTATCAAGGGTTCGAGAAGATAAGCAAATTATATTCGTTAGTACAAGTTTATATGTTGTTGATATTTTTTTCGATTTATAGGGAGTTTATCCCGTAGAAGAGAACAGTAGATTTACTGATTGTGTAAAATTGATTCACACTTGATAATATTATGGTAATGTTTTCCATAAACTATGCTTTCTGATCGGCTAATAACGAGTTGAAAATTGGTCGCAGTTGCTTTGAACTTGTTCTTAAAGGATACACTGTTACCCTATTAAATTGTGATTAACTTTATATCATATAGATAAGATTATTACATCATACTGTTTAATAACATAGATTCACAAACAGCTATTAGTAAGTTTAGAAACGTTTAGCCGCGTCTGTCACTTATAAAGAACACCTTATCACTAGCATTTACATCACACCTTGATACCAATAAGATTGCCATAGCTTTGATTACACTAATTAATAAATCAGTGGATCACATACTAGATAATAAGCAATGTTGTTATGCAGGTTTCGGTGACCATAAACTATGTTACCTCAGCAGCAGGACCCACTGATGCGACCAACATATACAATGTATATCTAATGTAGACGTAGATCTGATATCTCCCAAGGTAACATTATAATCCTATACCTAAACGCATAGTTCTAACGTGAAATCTCGTCGAAACACTGTTAAGATTATAAAGTCCAAACCATATGGGAACAAAGTATATCCAGAAGTGTCTGGTTCCAAAACTAGTAGCAAAAATATTACAAAGGCTCAACCATACAAATATATACTCCCTGATACCAAGTTTTACCCTAATAAACCTAAGGGCGATTATATAGGCACACAAAAAGAACTGGTCGGCTCACGATTTTATCACTCCAGCCTAACCTACGAACAATAGGTGCCTGTCAAAACCTTACTTCCTAAATCAACGAAATATACTTGACGAAAATGACGCACAAAACGGCCAACCCAACCTTTGTATAAGCAGGTCCAATATTGGACAAACTTCAAGGAATCAATGTGTCCCATAGTTGCCTCCAAAATTTGTACATACTGAATCTGCAAGACATGACTTTTCTCATCACTTTCCCAACATGCAAGATGGACTGCTACGTTACGTACCATTAACTCAACCCCAACGATCAGGTGACTTTCCTAACTGTCAGCCAAGTCAATTTCAACAAATAAGTTCACTTTATCAAAATAATAATTTTTTGGTTTTCAGAAATCCTTGGTCCCTCTAGCTCTACAGTTTGTTCAAACCATAGTGCATACGATCAATTACCGTAATAAATCGTAGTTCAGTCACCTTGAAAATATATAATATCGATAAGAACGTTCTCAGTTTTTTCTTAACACTCCGTAGTTCTTCTATAGACTCACTAGTGATCAATGCACGTTCTCTTCTAAATAAAATTTCGGCCTTACAAACCTTAGCTTTACCAGCTAATCCTTTTTTCATACTTGTCATTGTAACATGATGCTTTTCTGCAATATCTAGATCAGAATTAAATATCCAGAACTGCCAAGCCTATCACTGCAGCAGCGAAACTAAACGTGGATGTAGCTGTCTTATAAGTGCCTTGGACTCTAGAACCACTGAGAACCTTTTCAGTGGTATTTTTGCCAGAACTAATGAATTCCTAAATGGCACTGTTTTGAAAGTCACGTATGTGACTAGTAACTCAGTAAAACCTATCTCCTCCACATACCCAAAATTTAGTAAGGCTATACACTCTCTTAAAGTTCCAAGCGTTAATGGGATAGACGCGATTTCATTCATTATCTACAAATATAGTACACCAGATATTCCACTTCTTCTAAAGCTGTTTACTCTCTCTGGAAACAAGTACTTACCCTAACTGTTGGAAAACCGTATATATCACACACAAATCTCGAGATAAGACAGACATGAACGATTGTTGACCCATAAAAAATTGTTGGAAATGAACTTTCTAACTATTTACCCACTGAAGAACTTATCAATGATTCTCAATATTGCTTTCCTAAAAAACGATATTGTGTGACATGCCGCTGACTTCTTTAATGTAGACTTTACTCAAAGTAGCCGAGGATATCTATTCTTAGTTCCATACCTTAAGGTTCCTCAAGATTTCGAAATGGTTAACCATCAGCTTCTTATAAACACACTCTCATCCTGTGGACTCAAAGAACCTCTGCTTGCTTGGATTGATTCCTTCCTCAGACAGCAACAAAAAGTAGCCAAAATTAACTTGTTCTTTTCGGATTCTGTCCTGGTCAAAAGTGGTGTAGTAAGAGGTAGTAAATTGATCCCTTTGCTCCTTTTAGTTTTTATCAACGATATTTGTGAATGATTTTGTGTGGGTAAGCTCCTACTGTATATAGATGATCGTATAGAATTAAACGTTCCGGGCTGATGTCTTTGATTTCTGTAATACGTGTGAAAGATCTACTACGTAAACGAATACTTAAAACAATCTAATTACCATGTGCTCACTAATGACTAACATCGTGAGGGAATTCTCAGAGTTCTAATGAGAAGCTGTGATCAGTAGAGCTAACCCATTTCAGGTATAGACAGGTATCCATCTCAGTACAATGGAAGATGGTCGCGCAATTTCGTGGATTGGTTGAGGTTAGACATTAACACTGTTGGATTCCGATTCAGTGGTATAGAGGTTAAACGTTCGCGCACGAGACCGGAGGTTCTAGGTTCGAATTCCTCTCTCGGGATCATGGATGCGCACTGCTGAAGAGTCCCACAATAGGGCATAACGGCCATCCAATGCCTCCAGGTTTTCATTAGTGGTTTAACATCAATCGATTCATGATCTTAATTAAAAACTTAATAATCTTCACAACCCCGATACTGATAATATCACATATCTATTTTCTACATTTGTTATTACTATCCATATCAAGCTGATCATATTTGTCAAATGGTATGAATTATGTCATTATTATTGTTATTATTACTAATTCAAATAAGAGGGACCAAGAGAGTGAATTGCAAAAATGGGACATTTGTCAGATCAATGAAGTTATTAAAACGATATGAAAAACACTTACGTGTTGACTCTAAATTATTTAAAAATACACTAGATGTTTTATTAAATTGATTATGACCATCATTTAATAATTGAGTAAATTGTTCTTGACTCAATTGTGAACCAGGTAATGTTTGTAATTCAATTGTTGCACTACCTTGTACTCCATCTGTTGAAGTGTTGTTGTTGTTGGTTACACCATTGACAACTTGTCGTTTACCTCGAATAACGATAGTGATTCTTATAAAAATGACTGTTGTACATTTAGCACCTTGAAATATTGGTGTATTTGCAGTTAATAAACTACTTATAATCTGATGACATAAAATAGAATGGTAGAAAGATTAGTTAAGATGTTGAGAAAAAAAATTGAAACAAAACATTAATAGGCTTAAATGGTTGTGGAAATCGTACAATTTGAAGTTATTTTAGATTGTCGATTGGATACTAGGATATATTTAACAATTTGTTTAATACCACCTCTCAGATAGGCACAGTTACAAGTTTAAATGAAACTGAGGCGAATGGATTAATTTCACACAATAAGTACAATATATGTAGATTTCTTAAAGATGACAGGTTGAACGTAAGCAAGTTATGAACTCAAACAAATGTAATCAATGGTATGATAGATAATAGTAGTAAAATATCATGGAATAAAGAAATTCGGTAATCTGGATGATCGAACACCGAACCGGATATCTAACAGCCGGGTGCCAATATCAAGACGACAATGTTTCAGTTTAGATTTTATGTTTAATTGTAGGTGTGAGCTGATAGAATGTCTAAAATTATGAAGAAATAACTGTCAGATATCCGGTGTTTTTCAGGAGATCTTCATCTAATGACAATTTATAGTCATAACGTATTCAGCGTACATTGTTCTAATAATGAAAAGTTTAATTGAGTTGAAATATAGTTTTGTGAAACACCAATAGTAAATGGATGTAAGGAAGCTCCAGGTACCATTGACATTTCTTCAGTATAGTAGATAACTCATTACTGTCCATAAACACAGCTAACTTAATTTAGCTAATCTACGTTGTTTAGTCAGAATATTTAACAATGAATATGAAGAAATTTTGTAGCGATTTGTTGCTCAAATCACTTGGGATTGAGATAAACATTTTTTATCGTTACCCAAATGGTTTCAGGTTTGATGATATATACTGTGGAACTGTATTCAATTTACCGGTTTGGTTAATGGGTAGCAGAGAAATTGTAAGCTGGATTTCTTTTATAGGTAATTGGTTTGATGATTATACCCATATCTAAGTATCATTTTCTACATTAAGATTCGACGCTAGTAACTTTCACTTCAAACACCAGTGGCTTATCAACAGAGCCACAAAGTCTTGATAATCACTGTCCTGTGCAGTGTGTACGAGTTTGATTTATCAGAGTTCGCGGTTGATCATACGGAGTGCAACTAATCAGTTTCTATTGTGATATATGTATCTTTAGAAGATTGTCTTAACGTTGCCATTCAGTTACAAGTATAAATATAAATTCTTCAGATATTTTCTAATTTTATGATGATCTCATAAGCTTGTATTCAAACTATTTAAAGATCATACATTATAAACCATGAAAACGTTATATAATTATTATTATAATATACCCTTATGGACTAGGGTAATTTTACATTGGTTTCCAGGAGAACCGGACACCATACAGAATTTCACATCATAAACCGAGCAGTACAGTTCAACCCTGACTCATAGGAGAATCAGACACCATATGTATATGAACAGTCATCAAAACTTGCCAAGGTAATACCGAACTATCTACAATATCAATAGCAAACTTTCAATCTCATATGAGACCTTCAGCTCTACAACTTTTTTCAAGAGATGATCAATAAATTTCTCAACACCCGATCTACTCTAAATTCATGATTGATTTATGATTACTTAATTTAGTTATTTATAACATGGTTTCAAGTTAAGTAGTCAGGGTAACTTAAGTAATTAATAATGAAAGTGATCTATTACACATAAACGTTCAATAGATATTATAAGTCTATAGCGACTCACGTGCAAATGGGTTTATTCTCATTTAACTCAGTTAAGCCCTTTTGCTAACTTATTTAGCGGACAAAGCCATCCGCATTATAACAATTTATTGTACCCTTATTATTATTTTGTGCTTGTATGAAATACGCATGCTTGAATATTGCTTACGGCCTACGCATTTATTCACTCTGCTAGTCTCACTACTAACCGCTTATTTGATTCGATTACTCATTAATTTCACATGCTATATATATGTCCATGTTATTTATATCGTTGACTCTGCTTTCTCGCTCGCTTGATCATACTCGATTACTTACATTCGCTCAATCGCTCGCTTGCCTGTTTGCCGTTCGACACAACTCTTAATGCTCGTTTAATGCATCTGTAATTTTGGACATCTGTGTGTGTGGTCTCGAAATAAACGTAATCAACGCTTCGTATTCGCCTTCTGAATAATATACCGTTGGGGTTAAATAGGACGGTTATCAAGACGAATTGTATACGAAGTTTAAGGGATATATCGAATACCGACCACCACAAGTCTCTATAATGTAATATCAATGATTTGATTAATTTCAAAGGAAGATATTCTTTTCTTTCAAAAACTACATAAATGAATATTTCGAAAATGAGAAATGAATAAAAGAACACAATTACATATTTCATTATTATTGCCTAGACAAAATAGAAATGATATATTTAGTTAATCGACTATTGTATAGATATGTAAAAATACATACAAAGTATACTGAAATCTAGTGAAGTCATGCAATTTTTAACCATTAAGTTTTATTGTTCTTTCAAACGTGGTGACTGATAACTCGATCGTTCAAGTATCTAATGTGGTCAACTAAAATAATATATTATGGATAGTGGCTAGCATTGGACTCTAGTTCGTGCGCTTCACTCTATTTGGGATTCGTCATCTGGATTTACCTGCATCCTAGAGTTCATGTTCATTCCGGGACTGACGAGTCCCAAATAGGACATAACGTGCGTCCTGGATTCCATTGCCAGCCACTATCCACCATTGCTCATAAAGCTTGTGACTTAAGGTAATATCGAGGGAATCCGCGCAAGATACACATATGTCAACAAGAGACTGATCAATCGCAGTCCTAAACATCAATGGGAAGATTCAAGTAAACAATACCAAGTGAATTACATAACGCTCATATCGTAATTTATTATATACAATCTTAACAATTAAATACATACCAGATTACAGAATACTGTAGCTAAATCATTGTAAATTTTCGATTGATAATTATTATAATCATCGGACCATGGAATGATTCCTTCACTTTCTGATTTATATAAAACACCTTTTACACCAAATTGTGTGAATACTGGAGAGAATTTTGAAAAATGCAAAAAAATTTTAATATAATCATTAAAGAAAATGTTTGATACACTGGACTAATCAGGTATCAACAAAATGATCAATACATACGATAGGCCAAGAAATAGCATATATGTGTAAGGAATGAGATATGAGCCACTGATGACTTATATATGTATGAATGTATGAGTGGATTGCCAAAAGACGTCAATGACTGACCGAATTTAAACTAGTACATTATTAGATGCAAGCTCAGTGGTTTGAAAGTTAAGCGTTTGTGCTCAAAATTGAAGGTTTTGAGTTCGATCCCTATTTACGCGTTGTTAATGTACACTGCTAAAGAGTCTCATGCTAGAATTAAACGCCCATCTAGCATATACAGTGGCTGCATAACTTAGATCAGTTTGGGGTTATAATCGAATCCATGAGAAAATCGTTACTTAGATCATTTATACCTGTAAAGTAGCTTGTCAGTAAATTTCGCTATCATAGACCAGTCTGATCGGTGAATTTAATTTCCTGAATTTATGTAAAACACCTCTATACCGTATGCCTATTTATCCGACCTGGGTGAAATCGTGCTATTCATGTGTAACTAGACTAAGAATGAATAATCTAAATTAACCTAATGCACCTTGGATTCCCAAGTACATCTTTGTAAACTACGGTGAAATTACTAGATAAGATTGTACTATTTGTATTAATTCATAAATACCCATTTTCTTGGAATATTCAATTAGATACAATCCATTCATACGTTCACATGATTTTGCCCGATTTTCATTAATTGGTCAGTTCATGTCTATTGCAGTATGTTTTAAATAGATTTGTCAATGTTTATCTCGTTACTATTGATTAATCTGCTGATCATCATAAGCAAAATAATATGATATAAATTTAAGTAATGAAGTATCTACATAAAGTAAATGGCTCTTTTTGAAATTAATTTTACCATTAGAAAAGTTGTCCATGATATAGTTTTAGCTTATGTTATCGGTAGAGACTTTTCTTGGTTAGAGAAAACATGACATTTACTGACAAATTGATTCATTTATCTTTTTGATTGAGATCATGGATCGATTGGTGTTAGATCACTATTGAAAACCTGGAAGCACTGGACATCAGTTTCGTCCTATTACAAGAATCCTCAGTAGTGCGCATCCGTGACTTCGCTCGCGAGATCCTAACCCAGGACCTTTGATCTCGCGCGAGAACGTTTAACTCTTAGACTACTGAGTCGCTATCCAACGGTGTTAATGTCTAACCTCAGCCAATCCACGAAATTGGTGGTCTAGCATTAATCGACCCATGATCTTAAACAAAAAACTTCATAATCCCCACAACCCCATAATGACAATTACCATGTGCTCACTAATGACTAACATCGTGAGGGAATTCTCAGAGTTCTAGTGTTAAGCTGTGATCAGTAGAGCTAACCCATTCCAGGTAGAGACAATATATCTATCTCAGTACAATGGAAAACGGTGGCGTAATTTCATGGATTGATTGAGGTTAGACATTAACACTGTTGGATTCCGATTCAGTGATCTAGAGGTTAAACGTTCGCGCACGAGACCGGAGGTTCTAGGTTCGAATTCCGCTCTCGGGATCGTGGGTGCGCACTGCTGAGGGGCTTCGTAAATGAAGAATCGGCCGTTCAGAACTTTCAGGTCTTCAATAGTGGTCTAACATCAATCGATTCATGGTCTCAATCAAAAACCTAATAATTTTCACAACACCATACTGATGATTCATTTACCATAAAACGTTTTATATGATTTATTACCAAGTGATGTCAAATTTTATGTACAGAGAAAACAAATATACACAGAAATGATCGGATGATAAAGAACTTCATATACGAAATCTATAAGATATAGAGAAGTATAATTTAGGTGAGAGAATGTATGTCTAGTCCCATGATTACTTAGCTGTTAGGATTAATAAAACTATTTTTAAATTAGTATCTTTACAACCATAGAAGTTTTCATTTGCAAAGATGATGTGACAGACAAATGAAATTAAACTTTTTTTGTAATGATATACTATTATAATAACCTAATACGACAGGTGATTGAGATTTTGTAACCACTCGACTGGATACTCAAACGACATACTATACACAGATTGGATCACGTTACATCAAGTATATAACTAATGAAAAGAAATATAGAACCAGAGTATATGACATACCATACTTTCTTCAACACATTTACAGGCAATTACACTCAGTGAGTCCATACTATAAGTCAATGATAGAAAGAATATCACATCTTTAATATTCAATGAGTTGTATCTTTCAATCCATGTTTGGTCGCCAATCGCTACTTATTTTCATAAATTTTTTTGGAAAAAAAGGTCATTTAACAGTGCAAAACATGGTTAATCTGACTAATTAGGCACTAATAAATTCCTGCAACAAGAAGAAAACTGATTCAATCCCTAAAAATCTGGAAACGAAATCCGGAAAATAAATAAACCTAACCATAGAAAGAGTATAGACACCAAATCAATGAAAAAAAGTAGATAAATTCATACCTCTACCGATAAAAGTAGATTCCGTTGTAATAGTCGTTGATGAAAGCTCAGTTGTTATATTTGCTTCGGATCCAGGAGTAATTGAAGTAGAAGAAAATGTGTCATTCAATTTCAGCGTAGAATAATCTGAAATGGTTAACAGACAAAATGTTAAAGGCAAAGTGCAAACTACAAATTGTAAGAAGACGAACACTGATTGAGAATACTGTCAGAAAAGATAAAATAAAACATTTCAAAAAATGAAGGATAAATAAAAATGGGAAAAACAGGAAATGAAAATGAAGCAGAAAAACAAAAGAAAAAAAGTAAAAGGATACAGATGGATGACGCAAAAACAAAAACTGAGAAATCAATCTACAAATCAAACAATGAAAAAATTCAGAAACCAGTTAATAACCTGCTAAGAAAATTACTGAAATTACATACAAAAAAAACACAAGTAATGAGAACAATCGCACGAGGAAAAAAATCACAAAGAACATTCGGTGTCACCTAGAACGCAAAAGTTTCAACGTCCTAACAAATAGTCTGAATCAATACTCGCATCCACTACACCACTGATCATGCTGATGCATTCAGCTACAAAACAACATAAACATGCTGTCGCCACTCACCTTCACACTCACCATCGACACATTTGCATTGCGAACACTCTCCAACGCAATCACTGTCATTCAGTCAGTCAATCTCTGCCTTAACCAACCAGTCACTCAATCACTCCATCAACCACTCCATTATTCAATCCATCAATCAATCATTCAATCAATTAATCAATTAATCATTCATTCATCCATTCACTCATTCATTCATTCATTCAGTCCGTCGATCAATCAACACGTTGTTCAAACAGTCAATCGGTCAATGTGACAATCAGTAGAACAGTGAGTCGATGCACTCAACACAAGCACACATGTCATGTGAACACGTGTTGAATGAGGTGTGGAGTGCATTTGGTGTCTTGCAAAACGATTCGGACCTACCGAAAGTAGCTGCAGCAGTAGTTGATGACGGCTCGGTCATCCGCATCGTAGCCGATGTTGCTGCCGTGGTCATCGTCATCGACGGCGTCAATGTTGTGCTTGTGGTCGCGGTGGTGCTATTGCTTGTGCTTGTGTCCATGCTCGTGCTCGTGCTCGTGCTCGCGCTCGTGCTCGTGCTCGTACTAGTGCTAGTGGTGTTCGGTCGACTGAGTTCTGACGCCGCACTTGTGTCTGTGTGCTCCACGCTTCTGGTCTCAGTCGCAACGCCTGTCGATGTGTCTGTACAGAAGCAGAGAGAACACACACAAACACACAAACAACCACAATTAGTACACTCGTCACAAGTCAACATCATATCCACATTGTCTCACAATATGCCAGTCACATCCTCTGTCTCAGATCACACAACCAAAATAACTATCAATGCAACACTAAATACCGACACTTATGCCACCGTCTCAACCAACATCATCACAACAATATCTACGCACACACAAACAACTACATACAATACTACAACAACTAACAATGCGTCGACCACTGCAACACCATCTACACAACTCAGTGACAACAAACAACACAGTGCTTTCACACTAAGTCACAATTACACACACAAAATACACATCACACATACCATACACTCTCTCGTCATCCCACATCCGTGTCACTGTGCCTACAATCAGTGTGAATCTCTGCTCGCATCCACTACACCACTGATCATGCTGATGCATTCAGCTACAAAACAACATAAACATGCTGTCGCCACTCACCTTCACACTCACCATCGACACATTTGCATTGCGAACACTCTCCAACGCAATCACTGTCATTCAGTCAGTCAATCTCTGCCTTAACCAACCAGTCACTCAATCACTCCATCAACCACTCCATTATTCAATCCATCAATCAATCATTCAATCAATTAATCAATTAATCATTCATTCATCCATTCACTCATTCATTCATTCATTCAGTCCGTCGATCAATCAACACGTTGTTCAAACAGTCAATCGGTCAATGTGACAATCAGTAGAACAGTGAGTCGATGCACTCAACACAAGCACACATGTCATGTGAACACGTGTTGAATGAGGTGTGGAGTGCATTTGGTGTCTTGCAAAACGATTCGGACCTACCGAAAGTAGCTGCAGCAGTAGTTGATGACGGCTCGGTCATCCGCATCGTAGCCGATGTTGCTGCCGTGGTCATCGTCATCGACGGCGTCAATGTTGTGCTTGTGGTCGCGGTGGTGCTATTGCTTGTGCTTGTGTCCATGCTCGTGCTCGTGCTCGTGCTCGCGCTCGTGCTTGTGCTCGTACTAGTGCTAGTGGTGTTCGGTCGACTGAGTTCTGACGCCGCACTTGTGTCTGTGTGCTCCACGCTTCTGGTCTCAGTCGCAACGCCTGTCGATGTGTCTGTACAGAAGCAGAGAGAACACACACAAACACACAAACAACCACAATTAGTACACTCGTCACAAGTCAACATCATGTCCACATTGTCTCACAATATGCCAGTCACATCCTCTGTCTCAGATCACACAACCAAAATAACTATCAATGCAACACTAAATACCGACACTTATGCCACCGTCTCAACCAACATCATCACAACAATATCTACGCACACACAAACAACTACATACAATACTACAACAACTAACAATGCGTCGACCACTGCAACACCATCTACACAACTCAGTGACAACAAACAACACAGTGCTTTCACACTAAGTCACAATTACACACACAAAATACACATCACACATACCATACACTCTCTCGTCATCCCACATCCGTGTCACTGTGTCTACAATCAGTGTGAATCTCTGCTCGCATCCACTACACCACTGATCATGCTGATGCATTCAGCTACAAAACAACATAAACATGCTGTCGCCACTCACCTTCACACTCACCATCGACACATTTGCATTGCGAACACTCTCCAACGCAATCACTGTCATTCAGTCAGTCAATCTCTGCCTTAACCAACCAGTCACTCAATCACTCCATCAACCACTCCATTATTCAATCCATCAATCAATCATTCAATCAATTAATCAATTAATCATTCATTCATCCATTCACTCATTCATTCATTCATTCAGTCCGTCGATCAATCAACACGTTGTTCAAACAGTCAATCGGTCAATGTGACAATCAGTAGAACAGTGAGTCGATGCACTCAACACAAGCACACATGTCATGTGAACACGTGTTGAATGAGGTGTGGAGTGCATTTGGTGTCTTGCAAAACGATTCGGACCTACCGAAAGTAGCTGCAGCAGTAGTTGATGACGGCTCGGTCATCCGCATCGTAGCCGATGTTGCTGCCGTGGTCATCGTCATCGACGGCGTCAATGTTGTGCTTGTGGTCGCGGTGGTGCTATTGCTTGTGCTTGTGTCCATGCTCGTGCTCGTGCTCGTGCTCGCGCTCGTGCTTGTGCTCGTACTAGTGCTAGTGGTGTTCGGTCGACTGAGTTCTGACGCCGCACTTGTGTCTGTGTGCTCCACGCTTCTGGTCTCAGTCGCAACGCCTGTCGATGTGTCTGTACAGAAGCAGAGAGAACACACACAAACACACAAACAACCACAATTAGTACACTCGTCACAAGTCAACATCATATCCACATTGTCTCACAATATGCCAGTCACATCCTCTGTCTCAGATCACACAACCAAAATAACTATCAATGCAACACTAAATACCGACACTTATGCCACCGTCTCAACCAACATCATCACAACAATATCTACGCACACACAAACAACTACATACAATACTACAACAACTAACAATGCGTCGACCACTGCAACACCATCTACACAACTCAGTGACAACAAACAACACAGTGCTTTCACACTAAGTCACAATTACACACACAAAATACACATCACACATACCATACACTCTCTCGTCATCCCACATCCGTGTCACTGTGTCTACAATCAGTGTGAATCTCTGCTCGCATCCACTACACCACTGATCATGCTGATGCATTCAGCTACAAAACAACATAAACATGCTGTCGCCACTCACCTTCACACTCACCATCGACACATTTGCATTGCGAACACTCTCCAACGCAATCACTGTCATTCAGTCAGTCAATCTCTGCCTTAACCAACCAGTCACTCAATCACTCCATCAACCACTCCATTATTCAATCCATCAATCAATCATTCAATCAATTAATCAATTAATCATTCATTCATCCATTCACTCATTCATTCATTCATTCAGTCCGTCGATCAATCAACACGTTGTTCAAACAGTCAATCGGTCAATGTGACAATCAGTAGAACAGTGAGTCGATGCACTCAACACAAGCACACATGTCATGTGAACACGTGTTGAATGAGGTGTGGAGTGCATTTGGTGTCTTGCAAAACGATTCGGACCTACCGAAAGTAGCTGCAGCAGTAGTTGATGACGGCTCGGTCATCCGCATCGTAGCCGATGTTGCTGCCGTGGTCATCGTCATCGACGGCGTCAATGTTGTGCTTGTGGTCGCGGTGGTGCTATTGCTTGTGCTTGTGTCCATGCTCGTGCTCGTGCTCGTGCTCGCGCTCGTGCTTGTGCTCGTACTAGTGCTAGTGGTGTTCGGTCGACTGAGTTCTGACGCCGCACTTGTGTCTGTGTGCTCCACGCTTCTGGTCTCAGTCGCAACGCCTGTCGATGTGTCTGTACAGAAGCAGAGAGAACACACACAAACACACAAACAACCACAATTAGTACACTCGTCACAAGTCAACATCATGTCCACATTGTCTCACAATATGCCAGTCACATCCTCTGTCTCAGATCACACAACCAAAATAACTATCAATGCAACACTAAATACCGACACTTATGCCACCGTCTCAACCAACATCATCACAACAATATCTACGCACACACAAACAACTACATACAATACTACAACAACTAACAATGCGTCGACCACTGCAACACCATCTACACAACTCAGTGACAACAAACAACACAGTGCTTTCACACTAAGTCACAATTACACACACAAAATACACATCACACATACCATACACTCTCTCGTCATCCCACATCCGTGTCACTGTGTCTACAATCAGTGTGAATCTCTGCTCGCATCCACTACACCACTGATCATGCTGATGCATTCAGCTACAAAACAACATAAACATGCTGTCGCCACTCACCTTCACACTCACCATCGACACATTTGCATTGCGAACACTCTCCAACGCAATCACTGTCATTCAGTCAGTCAATCTCTGCCTTAACCAACCAGTCACTCAATCACTCCATCAACCACTCCATTATTCAATCCATCAATCAATCATTCAATCAATTAATCAATTAATCATTCATTCATCCATTCACTCATTCATTCATTCATTCAGTCCGTCGATCAATCAACACGTTGTTCAAACAGTCAATCGGTCAATGTGACAATCAGTAGAACAGTGAGTCGATGCACTCAACACAAGCACACATGTCATGTGAACACGTGTTGAATGAGGTGTGGAGTGCATTTGGTGTCTTGCAAAACGATTCGGACCTACCGAAAGTAGCTGCAGCAGTAGTTGATGACGGCTCGGTCATCCGCATCGTAGCCGATGTTGCTGCCGTGGTCATCGTCATCGACGGCGTCAATGTTGTGCTTGTGGTCGCGGTGGTGCTATTGCTTGTGCTTGTGTCCATGCTCGTGCTCGTGCTCGTGCTCGCGCTCGTGCTTGTGCTCGTACTAGTGCTAGTGGTGTTCGGTCGACTGAGTTCTGACGCCGCACTTGTGTCTGTGTGCTCCACGCTTCTGGTCTCAGTCGCAACGCCTGTCGATGTGTCTGTACAGAAGCAGAGAGAACACACACAAACACACAAACAACCACAATTAGTACACTCGTCACAAGTCAACATCATATCCACATTGTCTCACAATATGCCAGTCACATCCTCTGTCTCAGATCACACAACCAAAATAACTATCAATGCAACACTAAATACCGACATTTATGCCACCGTCTCAACCAACATCATCACAACAATATCTACGCACACACAAACAACTACATACAATACTACAACAACTAACAA